CAAAGTTGCTAATGGAAATTGTGAAAAGAAAATCCATTTTCCACACGGCAACATCGTTGCCACATTTCTGGCCCCAGGGCACGCACACAATTTCCTCTCGACCTGCTCCTGGTCCCATCCCTTCCCCATCCACACCCCCCTCCTGTTGGCTTTGATGAACAACCACCAAAACAACCAAACAACCACCCCGAGCTAGTAAAACTTTGCTCCTTCCACATTTTGGCTTCAAGCCCCAACAAGTTGAAGCTTTCCATGCAACTGAGAATTATATTTTTTTTATTTTTAGTTAATTTGTTTTTATATTGTAACATTCATATCTGAGAATTAATATTAACAAACAATCCAACAAACAATAAGTTATAAAAAAACAATTAGCAGCTTTTCGGAATAGCTATTTAAAGAATTTTCAGTTACTTTCATCAGCAGACTTTGCGAACGACATGTCACACTTTTTAGCACCTTAACTTGTTGAGAATTGTAAGCAAAAACTGTTTTATAGCTCTCTCTTTTTTTTTATAGAAGTTTACTTAACACAGATGAGTCGATTCCACCCGTAATTATCCCAAGTCTATCCCAATTTTTAGCCAGGAAGTTTAAATATCGATAATTGTCTCTATACAGATTCAATTCATTCTTGATGAATTGAATATTGTGGTGACCAGATACATGAGCCATACTCGTCGTACCAAAGGTATATATATAAGTAAATTCAAGAATGTTCCTGGAGATCTGTAGATTCAAGAGCCCATGCTGGGACGCTGAAATAATAGAGCTACATAAATGTTGTAGTTGACATTTAATGATTCTCTCAAAAGCTTTAGGTATAGCGGATAATTTGGAAATATCTCTGTAGTTTTTTACATCGGACTTACTCCCTTCATTATGGAGAGGGATAAAATATATAAAGAGTTTACAGACAATACAAAAAGATTAAGGATAGGTTTACTTAGTACTGCAGTACCTGAGCACACAAGCGGGAACACCATCAGGGCCCGGTGAGTTACCGGCTTGATTGTGTTAAGGTCGCTGAGAAGCGAACTTTTTAGTAATTATAAGATTTAAGATGATTAAAAAAAGTTTGCTAACAGATCGGCAATGCCTGGATCAATATTTGCGCTCTCATCTGAAAAATACCGCACAATTTCCAAACGCCTTGACTCGACAGCCGCACCAACAATTCAAATTGAACGCCAAAAGAGTTATTCAAATGGCAACACATAATCACAGCACAGAGAACAATGTAATCGCATTTGCAACGCTGTTTATATAATTCAATAAAGACGCGCATTAATGCTTGTGTACATTATACAGAAATTCTTGAAATTTGCGCTAGCTGCAGCAAGCACGTGTCAATAAGCCCACATTATCCTCAATAACTTTTGTGTTTCTTAACCAATCTTGATGAAATTTTCAACAGTAAAGCTTATTGTGCTATAGAATATTTGTATTTTCTCAAAAAGTCAATTGCATTAAAATTGTGGCTTTAATTGGTGGGCAATACAAATTCGTTTATTTGCTTGCTATGAGGTGTTAGCGGGCAGTTGGCGAGTCCATATGTAAGGACGGACGACACCGACTGATGGACGGACAGGCGGACAGACACTCGGACATGGCTAAATAGACTCGGCTATTGATGCTGTTCAAGAATATATATACTTTATGGGGTCGGAGATGCTTCCTTCTGCCTGTTACATACATTTGCACAACTAAATTAGACCCTTTTTACCCATTTTCAATTTATTCAGGGTATAAAAATAAACCGAGCAGGCAAACAGATTAAATAAATATTTTTAAATAGAGATGTAAAAATCCAAACGAAGCACACAAAAGAAAAAAACACGTCTGTTCGCTTGAAAGAGTAGAACGAATGTTCAATTAGTTAATTAATATAATGAAAGACTTTACGTTTCTTTTTTTTTCATGGTTAACAATTATATTTCAATAGTATTTGTTTTGTTTGTTTGTTGTATGCGTGTATTTTGCTCTTTAATATGCATTATATCATTATCCATTCGATACTTTTCAATTACAATAATTTATTTGCGTATTCATAGTTTTCGTTTACTGTTCATTCCATTCAAAACTCCTTAGCCATGATTTTTGGGGCGAAAGTTGGGAATTCATTTGGGTTTTTCTTTAAATGTATATCCCGTGTGGGATTAATCGAAGGGAAAGTAACTCTAGACATGAAGTTTTACCCGTCAATCATAGCTCATCTAGGTCTATGATACCATATTAATGCAAGGATATAGATTTGTATATATCGGAACACCGAGGGTTAGTTTAGAATGAATGCGTATAACTTTAGTTAAAGTCCGATTTTAGTTAAGGATTTTAGTTAAACTTAATTTTGCATAGTTGGATAGACTTTGAAATAGAACAGCAACGTTTCAGAACTGGGCTAGGTAGAATAGTTGGGTTTTTTTCTTTGCATTTGCATTTGCTTTGCTTCTGTATGACGTAATTCATTGATTTTCTATTATAATTATATAATATTACAAGTACTAGTTTAACACAAACGTCTATAACATTAGCTGAAACAAATTGTGACAAATTTCAATTTAATCTAGCACAATTTCGTACTTAAATATATATATATATGTGTGTATATGTATATGTATGTGTACGTACTTGAAACACTTTGATCAGAACTTAGTGTTAGATAGTAGACTATACAGAACTGAACTGTGGCGGCATTTCTTGAGGGCTTTCGAATACAATTTCCTATAATTTATAACTGATATTCACTAAACGATCAAAATGTATAACAAATATTATAAACCATTTTGGGGTTTACCATAGTTCATATTCGATAATGTTTCTTAGTTTTCCAAATGAAAATAATAATAATATTAATTTGCATGTAATTGTAATTATAATAAGTATAATATGCTATTGAACATTTAACACTTTAATTTATTTATTTTATGTTGAAATATTTTGAAATTATCTTTTTTGCATATTTCTCCATTATATTTATGCGTATATTAATATTTATATTTTACATTATTTTTGTTGTTTTTATTTTATATATTATATTTTTTAGCAACATTATTTAATTTTTACAATACATACAGAGATATATTTGTTATATTTGTTTCTTCTTTTCTCTTTAGCTTATTTTTATAAAATTTCGTAAGATATTACACATTTCCGGCACTGTTGCGTGTTCTGTAAGCCTTACTTGAAGATCCCCGGAAACTTCACAACACTGTTTCCGAATGCGACTCTACTGTTTAGAGTCAAAGAGCACTCGATAGTGTTGCACAGTTCCCGCGGACTCTCCAGTCAGTTACCAACCCTCTTTATTTAATTTTAAAATTTCATATTATACTCGTTTTATTTATAATTCAATTCTGGAAGTTTCTTCTGCATAAATCCTGTTCAATTTTTTTGAAGAACATGCTGGAATTGAAATACAAAACCATTTTTTTAGAAGAATTGAGTTACATATTGTTATACAGATTTATTTATGCCTAGGATTTGTTTACATTTTCAAAGTATTTGGTATATTGCTTTTAGAAATGTCCATTAAATATACATATGCGTGTTTAAATTTTTTATTCTGATATATTATTATTATGTATATATTTGTTTTGGTTCATTTGAAACAGATCGTAGCAATATCTTTCAGATTCCGCTCTAATGTGCTTTAAATGAAATGATTAAATTATCCTTTGATCCTTTGAGTGAGTATTTTCTTTGTGAACATGGATCATAATCATATATATATATAAACTATATATTTTTTAATTCATTTTAAATTTGTTTTGCTAAATATATATTTATATTATATAGTTTTGCATTTAGATTCTGTTCGCACGGTCTGTACGTTGTTTTTTTTAATTGATACATTTGATGGGAGATTTTTTCATGAGTTTTATTCATTATGTAGTTATACATATTGCTAAAGCGCGTTAATATGTAGAACTCTTAAGATCTATGTTAATTATGTATATGCGTATATTAAACAAAAATTATAATAGACGTTTTAGGTAATTGATCAAATGACGCTGTGCAATCAAACAATATTTTTGTTATATTCAAAATCTTAGCCGAAACTTTAAAACTAATTGCTTTGAAAATCAGTGCATTTGCTAGACACACAGATATGTGTGTATGTATGTATGTATGTGTGTACACTCAAAAAAATTAGTTAACCACAACTGTAGAAAATCGCCAAAAAATGTTTTTTGAATATTTTTGTTTAATGATCAATTTTCTCCAAGCAAGAAAATTTACTTTTCGAAACAATAAATGTTACTGGAATTAAGAAATTATTTAAATTTTTTCTTGGCTGCTTTCTAAAATGTAGGACTAAATAATTTTCAGTGTATGTTGTATATGAGAGAGTATATAAACTGGACGCTTAAGAATTCCTCAAGAAGAGTTGCTCCTTGAGAATTCCTCAGAATAACCCATTGTACACTCAAAAAAATTGTTTACCACAATTTTAGAAAATCGCCATAAAATATTTTTCGAAAATTTATGTTTAAATCAATTTTTTTAAATCAAGAAAATTTACTTTTAAAAACAAGAAATTTTACTGAAATTAAGAAAATATTTAAGTTTTTTCTTGGCTGCTTTCTAAAATGTAGAACTAAATAATTTTCAGTGTATGTTATATATGAGAGAGTATATAAACTGGACGCTTAAGAATTCCTCAAGAAGAGTTGCTCCTTGAGAATTCCTCAGAATAACCCATTGTACACTCAAAAAAATTGTTTACCACAATTTTAGAAAATCGCCATAAAATATTTTTCGAAAATTTATGTTTAAATCAATTTTTATAAATCAAGAAAATTTACTTTTAAGAACAAGAAATTTTACTGAAGTTAAAAATAAAATATTTTTTTTTTTGCAGATTTCTAAATTATAGAAATACCTTATTTTCAGTGTATGTTGTATATGAGAGAGTATATAAACTAGACGCTGCCTTTTTAAAATTCCTCAAAATAACTCATTGTACACTCAAAAAAATTGTTTTCCATTAAATATTTTATGCAAATTTTTGTTTAGTTATATATTCTTCCAAGCAAGAAAATTTGTTTTTAAAAACAAGAAAATTTTCTGAAATTAAAAAAAAATATTTTTTTTCTTGGCTAGTTTCTATGTGGAAATCCATTATTTTCAGTGTATGTTGTATATGAGAGAGTTTATAAACTAGGCGCAGCTCTTTTAAAAATGCCTCAAAATAACCCATAGATAATGCTGTAAGTGTATAAATATATACTCGTCGATTAGATAAACTTGCTATTAATTTGAAAATGGCCGTGTCACTGATATGTTTACGGATATAGAATGTTCAAGTGTTTTTTTTTTTGTGTCTCTATAATAAGTAGTATAATTCGACAAATACACATTAAGAACCTATTTTAATTGTTATATATATATATATTTATGTGTGATAACTAACACATAATAATAATTATCTGCAAAGTTAGCAAATCGGTTTGTTATGTATACAAAAATTCAGTTTACTTAAGGCTCTATATTTAGACCAGGCTAAAAGTAGTTGGGTGTATAATATATATATGGTAGCAATAAACTGCTCTCCAAAAAGTGCGGCAATCGAAATGAATTCAAATATATGTATATATATATCTGTTATGTATATATAGCTACGTTTAGATAATGCATCTCGATTTAGAGAGACACAAGGTACACACATTTATGCTATGCTATCCTCGAGCTGCTATCGCAAAGGGTATATACCCTCGCATAGAGTCGACAAGCAAATAATAATTGATTGGTAGGTAAATATGAAACATTTAATATTTTCAAAGTTGTTTTTTTCACATTACGGCCTATCGATATGTTACGATAAGTTATATATAATTATGATTCTACATGTATATATAGCAATAGTTAATATCACTTTTGGTAATTTAAACAGGCGAGCCATTCGAGACTCTGATATGTATCGTTACCTTGGTTGTGTCTTATGTTAAAAATCATTTAACCGAAAAATTTAATTGCCAAATAATATGGCACCACCGAACGGACGCCACTGTATGCGCACAGTACCGTCGCAATGACAACCGAAAAGGGTTCGATTTTGTGCAACTTGTGATATGTCTGCGATATGGTTGCCATTGCCTGGTTAACCACGACGGACCCGTAGCACAGTGAAGCCTGGTCGGCAGCGCCGCTTAACAGCTAATATATATATATATACTGTATATCTGATATCTGTTAAGGATCGGAGCTGGGAGCAGGCGTTGCTCCCCCGAGTTCGATCCAATTATGACTATGCTTTGGTTTCTCTAGCCGAGTAGAGGATCGATATATATATATACCATATATATATAGTGCGTATTTGCATTTAACTCAACTGGCGATCGTGTATAATACATAATTTGCATGCCATATGCATTTTATAGTGTACGTACCACTTGCTATATATATATATATATACTATATATAGGTAATATCCGTGGGAGTATAACGAAAAGAAAAATGTGAATAAAATGGTTTTCGACAACAGTTTAAAATCCTTGTCTGAAGGGATTTGCTGCTGGAGCTCTGCTTGGCGGCTGCTGGAAAGGATTGGCGACGCGCGGCTGGGCATAGCTGCCGCCCTGCTCCTGGTAGCCCGGCTGATAGCCCTGATCCTGCTGATAGCCCTGATCCGCCGCCGCCGTCGGCTGCTGCTGCTGCGCCTGATACTCGTCCAGGCTGGTCTCCTGCTCCGGCTGGTATTGCTGGCCGTACTCGAGATGATTCTTGAGCTCGCCGTCGACGGGCTTCTGGTCGTGCATGACATAGGTCTGGTATTCCTTGTTCGGCGGATCCTGCATCAAGATGTTCGCCTCGTTCTCGAACGGCTTAAAGTCATAGATGTTGCGCAGCTTGCGGAGCATCGGAACATAGGCGAGATTCGAGAAGGCGATCAGAAAGTTGAGCGCAGTGAAGCCAATTGCCTCGACAATGCCGCCGGCAATAATTGGACCCACGGCATACGCAATCGAATACGAGATGTCCGCAATCGCATAGATGCTCCCATAGACGGACACATAACGGACGTCCACCAGATAGCCCAGCATGGGCAACAGAGCGGTGTCTATCAACGCAATGCCAAAGCAGATTACGCAAATCGGGAGCATCAGCATCTTGTAGCCGCTGCAGAAGGGTATCACGAAGCAGGACAGACCCTCCAAGGCAAGTCCGCCGGCTGCCATTAGCCATTGATGTTGCGGATATTTACGGGCCATTTTCACCGTAATTATGACGCCCAACACGTGCGGGAAGAAGGCTGGCAGCCAGACCATGCCGATTTTCCAGTTTTCCGTTGTCATCGTATCCTCCATCCACAGGGAGATGGTCGGCTCGAGGAAGGCGAGCGCCACATTCGACATGGTCAAAGCGCCGGCACAGACGGCAATATATGGGTCAATGAGCAGCCGCCAAATGGGTATCACCTGACTCTGGACCTCTTTGCTCATCTTGATCTGTTCCTTGAACGGCTTCATTACCAGCAACAGCATCAAACCATCCAGCAGGCAGACTAGAGCGAGTATAAGAAATGGAACCTCTTTCCCGGCAAATTGATACAGCGCTCCGCCAAAAGGTGGCGCCACCAGGCAACCGAAACTGATAAAGGCCAGAGCAATGCCCAGCGCCTGCGAGCGTTCATTCTCCTCCGTAAAACGATCCGCAATCATGGCCAGACCCGAAGTATCCGCAAACGCAGAGCCGGCGCCCTGAAGCGACCTCGCAAAGAAGAGGACACTGTAGCTGGTGCCGCACGCGAAAACGGCCGTCGAGAAGAACATAATGGTCAGTCCAATCATCATTGGGATATCGTAGCCAATCTTATCGATTAGTCCGCCCGAGAACGGATTCACCATCAGCTGGACAATCGCCTTGGAGGCGAACAGTATGCCCGTCGCCGAATCCTGGCCATGATGATCATGATGCACCGGAATTATCCGGCCCGTAATATTATCGCGCAGCGGCGGCGGCGTCGGACCATCATCAAAGCTGCCAATCTCACGCAAATAGTCGGGTATAATCGGCACAATCACCATATACAACATGTTGTCCAGCAGCAGGGCAATCGATACAATTACCAGGATGAGACGCCGCTGATTCACCGGCTCCCTGATCTTCTCCCACACAATCTCCTTCACCTCGCCCACCTCCAGATTGATGAGCGGTATTTGGAATGAGGCCATTTTGTTTTAGCTGCTTTCTTTCTGATTCTCTTTTATTTTCTTTCTCTCTTTTTTTGCTCTTCTCTTTCTTTCCTTCGTTTTGTTCTTCGTTTTATTGTTGCTGCCCGGAAATCGCGCAACCGGAAATTGAGCAGCAATATGGCCGCTTCCGTTTCCGTTACCGTTACCGTTAATTGCCTTTGAAGGTTGCTCAACACTGTTCCTTTACATGATTTCGTGTTGTTGTTGGCATTCCAGAGAACAACCTTTAACGACACAGAAACAAGATTTCGTTAGTTTTTCTCTTTTTTATTCTCATTCTTATTTTTTCTTAGTCTCTCGCACAGTATTTATATTTGTTGGCATAATTTATCTGTTTTTTATTTTGATATATTTTTGTAATTTGCTTTTATGATTGAAATGTTGTTTCTGTGTTGCAAAAAGGTTGCCTGCTGGTGAACAAAAATGTGTATTGTTAGGATTAGTTTGCACAGCAAATTTAGCACAATTTCGACACACACATTATTTATTATAAGACAAGTTGATCAATTTTCTTTGACACATTTCAATCATAAAACAAATACCAAAAATATATATATACATATATTCAAATATTTAATATTAATTTACAATAAATACATATATACAAAAGCAATTATTTTAATTGGATTGTGCACAAAAAATGCTCAAGCCAAGTGTCCTGTACCCTTAAATATATTCACACTTTAATAATCACACGGCTTTCTCTTTCGGGGGTTAGTTTCGAGGAGAGTCCTCGAGAGTCGCGTGGCCACACTCGAGTCCTGTAATTACATGTAATCATTGCTTTGTTTTGTCCCACACAAAAAAAACCCACACACAACGTTTCAGCACAGCGAAGCACCTCTCGAATAACACGCGAGCCACAAGAACTGAATAATAAAGAACATAAAGCACAACCCAAAACCGAGCTGAACTTTAGGGTATACTAAAGTGCATGCCCTTTGTTGCATTAACATATTTTGTATACCCTTCTTGAATGTGGATAAAGTATATATAGATTAAAATACAAATTAAAGTTTTCAAAGTTAGATCCTTGCACTTTGGCACGCATCCAAGTTCCTGCAAATTTCATATTGTTCGGACTATAGAAACTGAACTTTATCAAAGTGCGGGGTTAAGGTAAGAAAAAGCACAGATACTCTATAAAGTGTGTACGTATAAGGAATATTATTTTATATTATTTTAATTTTTATTTTTATTATTATTATTATTATTATTATTATTATTATTATTATTATTATTATTATTATTATTATTATTTTTATTATTATTATTATTATTATTATTAATTATTTTTTAATTATTAATTAAATATTAAATATTAATTATTAATCAATCTCTGCCAAGCGATTAAATAAGGGAATATAATATATAGTTTCAAGTATGTAACTCATATTTATTTGTATTTACAAAAGAAGGAAAACGAGATATTTAAATAATTCGCCTTGTAGGTAAATCGTCGAGGGAAGGAATGTTTGCCACAGCAGCTGGGTCCAGGATATCTTCTAGTTGGGCACTCACAGATAGATTATTATAATTATTTTTTAACTGCATAAAAGAGTGGGCCACGTTTTTTAATATTCCAATTTCAACTGAGATAAGACTTGATCCACCCACTTAGCTGAGGTTTGAACCAGCAACCTCATTGTTCGCTTACCCAACTAACTGGGACACGAAGGCAACTCATTAATCTATGTATTAAATACAGATTAAAACGAAAATTGTAAATTTGTAAAGTTCGATTCTTGCACTTTGGCATGCATCCAAGTTCTCTGCAGTCTAGTTCTGCAGATTATATAATTATACTAATGTAGATTGACTGTACCCACAATTTCTTTATCTTTATCGCACTTTGAAACATTTTGAGAATTATTTAGTTTTTTTTGATGGATTTTTATCTGGGTCTGGTGTCTGGCACAACTGTCTGCTCTCCCAGGCCAGGGCTATCAATGCTGATCTAATTTCAACATTTATCTACCTTGCAGCTCGACGGGCTGCCACCCCAAATAGACAAAAACATAAAAACGTTACGTGTGCAGGGTATAAAAGTAACCCCCCCCTTCCCTCACCCCCCTCGGTTGTCTGATGGGGCCTTTGGTATATGCGAGACGCTGGAATAACATTTCGTTTTATCATTAAATTTTCATGACCACGTTCGTGTGTCGTGTTGTGTTGTGTTGTGTTGTGTCGAGTTTTCCCCCAGCCGCCTGTCTTGAGGCGGTCGGGTGAGGAGAGGGAGAGGGGGGGGCTGCTCTGATCGGGGGCGGCATTGCCAGCCCTTAAGCTCGCACATGAGTCAATTATCGTCTGTGTGTGTGTGTGAAACGTGTTTCCTTGTTATTACACCCTTGCAGAGGGTATTATAATTTTGTCATGAAATGTGTAACGCATAGAAGGAGACATCTCCGAACCCATAAAGTATATATATTCTTGATCAGTATCAACAGAAGAGTCGATATATCTGTTCGTCTGTCCGTCTTTCTGTTTCTATGCGAACTAGTCTCTCAGTTTAAAAGCTATCTTAATGAAACTTTGCAGAAGTGCTTCTTTCTGTTTGACAAAGTATATATGTCAGAATCAGCTGGATCGGACCACTATTTTATATAGCTGCCATAAGAACGATAGGTCGAAAATGAGATTCTTATATGAAAAAGTTTTTTGTTTATTAAGATATCTTGACCAAACTTATCATTTTTTAGTTTTACTATGCTCCTCATATATTCGCAAAATCCTATCAACATCGGGCAGCTTTATCATATAGCTGACATAGGAACGATCGGTTGAAAATTAAGTACTTGTATGGAAAACTTTTTTGTTTCTCAAGATATCTTGACGAAACTTGGCATTTATAAGTTTCACTATGTTCCATACATTAATGGAAAATCTTATTTACATCGGACTACTATATCATATAGCTACCATAGGAACGATTGGTCGAAAAGTAGGTTCTTGTATGGAAAACTTTTTTGTTTTTCAAGATATCTCAACCATACTCGCCATAAACTATTTTCCCCTATTTCCATCTTAGATACGGGGTAAGGACTATGAGCATTATACAAAAGTTGGCTCTGCAAGGGTATTAAATCTTCGGCGTGCCGAAGATAAAACTTCTTTCTCGTTTTGCATTGAACGACTTTAATTTTGGTTATTTTTTGTGCCAGCGGCCCGCAACTACAACAACAACAAACAGGCAGGAGGAGAGCCCGGCCCAGGTGGGTCGTTGTACTTGACCCTGGGGTTGGCTGCACGCGGAGCTTTTATCAAAGCCAGGGGTTGGCTCTGGCGCTGGTCGAGTCAAGTGCAGAAACGTGTGTGTGCGGCTATAATAAGGAGCGAGAGCTCCGGGCCGCAAGCACGGCGGCAGGAGGATTATTAAAGGCCATGTTGAACATCAAACACCGCCAATTTATATTTACGCCTTTATAATTTTATTGATTTTTCCCGCGCGCTGACTGGCAAAACTCTGCCCAGCTGACGCATTTCCCACTGATAAAACATTTTGTTCGTTATTTTATTATTTTATGTTAGCCAACATGAAATTTCAGTTCTGCGGCCTTTTGTTGCTGGGGCTCTTTGCTCATTATCCCGGGTCTCGCTTTATTTTTGGTTTCCTTTTCATATTTGCGCAACAGCCTCCCGAGCTGCCGCTTCCCCCTGCCAGGGTATTCATCTTTTATGCATGAGGTCTGCATCTGTTTCGATTATTAAACATTCACAGGATATACAGAAATAAAAGCTGAGCAGAGCTCACCTGTGCAAAATTCAATCTATGCGATAGACAACTCGATAAAGCCCCAAAGTGCACTTTTCCCACTCTCCGGCTGCAAATGTAATTTGAGCTTGCCTGGCGGAAAAGGCAGCTGCGTAAAAATATACATATTGCTTTACGGATAGTTTTTCCCCAACTAAGTTTTAAGTGCAAGCAGCTTTAAATGTTCAGCTGGTTCACCTTGAAATATAGCCGACTTTTGCCGTTTTACCTGGGAACTTCACAGCAGTTCGCCATTGAAAGAAAATAAACGGACAGCTTAAGCTCGCGCTGTGCAGTTCCCCCTCTCCCCCTCTCCCCTCTCCCAACAAGCAGTGGGGCATCAAAATGAAATTACATTTATTTCTTGCTGCTGAGAATTTTCTGCACGTGTCTGGAGGGGCGTGCCCGTCCGACAAGGTAATCAGCGTAAAATACAATTTCATCTTTGCAAAGGTGAATGTAAAATATTCGCAAATCCTACAAAGCAGACTGTTCGGGCTTAACATTTTCATTTCTCAGTCTTGCTGTTCAAATTAAATATGCTCTAATAACGTTTGCCAACACTAACGCCTTGGGTTGCGTGTTGAAAAGTAGTCTTCCACAATATTTTAAAAATAGGCTACACATTTTATATCTCTGTTAAAGTCGGCGTAAAAATAGTGTGCAATAAATACGTTAGCCAACACGAAATATTGTGTTTAGTGTTGGAAAGCAGTATCCAAAAATATTTTGAAAATAAATTTAACATTTTGTTGTCTATTAAACTGTATGAATATGGTATACAATAAACACGTTTTCGAACACGGAATATTGTTTTTCAACACTAACATACTGTTCTAGTGTTGGAAAGCAGTATCCAAAAATAAAATGACAATAAACATTTTGTTTTCTATTAAACTATATAAATACGGTAAACAATAAATACGTTTGCCAACACGGAATATTGTGTTTAGTGTTGGGAAAATCTTCATACAGCGGTATGGGGTTCGGTTTTTAATTACATTTGCCATCCATGTGTTGTTAAGGTTGTTGGGAAGCAATATCCAAAAATATTTGGAAAATATATTAAACATTTTGTTCTCTATCAAACTGTTTAAATACGGTAAACAATAAATACGTTTGCCAACACTAACAAACTATGTTTAATGTTGGGAAGCAAATATATTTTGAAATGGAATATACATTTTGTAAAAATATGATGTATATTTAATACTTTTGCCAGTACGAAATATAGTGCTGTCTAATGAGAAACAGCATACAAAAATAAAACATAAAACAAGTTCAACATATTTGTTTCTCAATCACATTGTTAAAATAAGCAGACAATAAATGCATTTACCAACCCTAAGTGTTGGGCGGCAGTGTTCAAAAGCGGAATAGGAAAAACCAATCATAATATTTATGATAAGCCGACTTTCTCATGTCAGCCGACAAAAAAGGCAGTGCTAATCCTTACAAGTGTGCTATTGTACA